TGCGGGCCTCAAGCGCTTCTGCACTCGTACACCTGCGCGTTTATGCCCGCTTCTGCGGCCCAGGCCTTTTGGCCAATCTCCGTTTCTATGCTACCCCACTCTGCAGGTGCGGTTCCGCTTTTGCAGCGAAACGACCGCATCTGCGGTCCCATCACTGCCCAACCAGGATCCGCTCCTACGCTTGCCTTGCCTCTTTTACAGCGTCGCACCTGCGACCCATTTTTCGCAGGTGCGATTGCAATAGAACTAAGGCCCTTCAACAATACAACAAAGCTCCAAATTGATCCGCGACTCGTACGGAACTCACCCGAGGCCCCCGGGACCCCGTCCTAACTTAATAACAAGTTACATAACATAATACGGACGTACTCGGGGTCTCAAATCACACCAACCATATCAAAATCACGTATCGACAATCAAAATCCTTCTTTAAACTTTCAAACTTTCAAACTTTGACGAACACGTCCGAACCATACCAAAACATTCCGGAATAACGCCAAACTTTACGCACAAGTTATAAATCACAATACGAACCTATTCCAAGGCTCGTAATACCAAATGGACATCGACAATACCAAAGTCCACCTTAAACCAAACTTAGGAAATTCTAAAGCCTTCCAAATGTCAACTTTCCACAATAAGTGTTGAATCGCTCTCGGGTGATCCGATACTCAACCCGAACATATTCCCAAGTCCGAAATCATCATACGAACCTATAGGAACCTTCAAATCTTGATTCTGAGGTCTTTTGATCTAAATTCAAACCTTAGCCAATTCTTCCAACTTAAAGATTCTGAAATTAGAATTTTCTTTCCAAATTAACTCCGAACTTTTCGAAGTTCAATTCCGACCACACGTATAAGTTATAATACCTGAAATGAAGCTACTAAAGGCATCAAACCACCGAACGATGCGCTATAGCTTAAAATAACTGATCGGGTCGTTACAAGAGTTGACAGAGATATGTTCATATTGATTGTATATTGACTTTCCTACCTGCACTTGTTAGTCTGGTGCAAAATGTCTTTGAAATTTATTTGGGTTATTCGAAACCTTCTAAGTCATCTTATAAATTTTCAATTTAGATCTATATGAAAAATTCATAGTATCATCTAGATATTACCTTAACTTACCAACTGGGTTAGAGTCATAATCTATTAAGGAAATATCCTCTCGAAGCAAGTAAAAAGTCCATGCTATCGGGATCGTGCATAGAACAGGCACCAACCATCTAATCTAATAATGATTGTGAGTTCGACAGAAACTGTGAAGTGAAGGATGATGTTGCTTATAAGAAGTTTCTTGATATTTTGAAGCATGTGCAAATTAATATTTCGCTGGTAGACATCTTGCAGGAAGTCCCCAAATATGCCAAATATATCAAAGACATAGTGGCAAATAAGAGGAGGTTGGACGAGTTCGAGACTGTGACACTCACCGAAGAATGTAGCTCAAGAATTTAAAGCAAGTTGCCTCGAAAATTGAAGGGCCAAGGTAGTTTCACTATACAGATCTCGATTGGTAACCACACAGTCAGGCGAGCTTTGTGTAATCTTGGGGCGAGCATCAATTTGATGTCGCTATCTGTTTTCAAACAGTTGGGGTTGGGTGAGTCGCACCCAACTACGGTGATTGTACAGTTGGTTGATCGCTCCCTTGCTCATCCACAAAGGGTTATTGAAGATGTATTAGTTCAAGTGGGTTCTTTCATATTTCCTGTTGATTTCATTATCTTAGATTATGAGTCTTATCAGGAAGTCCCATTTATTTTGGGGTGTCCATTCTTGTAACGATCCGATCGGTCGTTTTGAGCATTAGCATTTCGTTCAGCTATTTTGAGTCTTTATTAGCTTAATATGATGTATTATGACTTGTGTTTATCGTCATTTTTGTTTTCAGAATTAGTTTGGAAGAATGAATTTCATGTTTGAAGCCTTAAGGTGCAAGAGTTTACCAAGTTTGACTGTTTAGTATTTGACCTCGGTTTTGAGTTTTGAATGTTCCATTAGGTCACGATGATGTTTTTGCACTCGGGCGTATGCCTAGATTTATATTTGGATATTTCTAGAAGGATTCGACACTAATTGGCGAAAGTTAGAAATTTGAAGGTTTAAAATGTTCATGAGTTTGACTGGGAGTTGACTTTGATGATATTGGGTTCGAATTGTGGTTTCGGTAATTGGAATAGCTTTGTTATGTCATTTGGTACTTGTGTACAAAATTTGAGTTTATTCCGAGTTGATTTGATATAATTTGGCACGAGTTTTGGAAGTTGAAAGATTCAAAGTTCATTACATTTGATTTGAGGTGCGATTCATCGTTTCGATATTGTTATGCATGTTTTGAGGCCTCGCATAGGTCCGTATAATGTTATAGGACTTGTTGGTATATTTGGACGCGGTCCCAAAGGGCTTGGATGAGTTTCGGATCATTTCCATGTTTTTTCGCACTTCTGATTTCTAGTGTTTCAGGCCTTATTCGCGATCGCAAAGATAGGGTCACGATCGCGTAGTGTATTATGGGAGCTAGCCTTTTACCTTCTTCGTGTTCGCGACTATTCTACCGTGTTTGCATACCTTTGGTGGCTTGAGCATCGCGCTCGCATTGGTCAGCTCGTGTTTGCGAAGGGTTGAGTTGAGAAGTTGGGGGCTGGAGTTCTTCTTCGCGTTCGCATTGGCCTTGTCGCGATCGCGTAGTGCAGGTGCATGTGGTCATCGCGAACGCGTAGGGTATTTTTGGCGGTTACTGAATTTGTTCTTCGCGATCGCGAAGAATGTCCCGCGATCGCGTAGGGTATTTCTGTCCAGTGATTGTAAGTACTCTATTTTCGGGGTTTCAGTCATTTTAGCATATTTGGAACTACGGAGATCAGATTGAGATGATTTTTGAAGTAATTTTCTCCATATGGATTGGAGTAAGTGTTATCTACTCAGTTTTGATTATATTTCATGAATGTATCCTCGTTTTTGGCGTTTGGTTGATGATTACAAAAGAGAACTTGGGGTTGTTTTGTCTAAAATTTCATAAAGTGAATTTTTGAGCTTTGAACATCAATTCAGAGTCAGATTTGAGTGTAACTAGTATGGTTGGACTCGTAATTGAATGGATTATCGGATTTTGTGAGTTTTGTCGGGTTGCGAGATGCGGTCCCGGGTTTGACATTTTGGTTGACTTTGGGGCTTTTGATTAAAGATTCCACCTTTATTGATTGGGTTTATTTTCTTTGGCATTATTTGATGTTCTTGAGTTATTTTTTGGCTAGTTTCGATCCTCTCAGAGGTTGATGCACGCGGGATAGAATTTCTAGAGTATTGTTTGGCTTGCTCGGTATTGGATTTGGCTTGTTCTAGGTAAGTAACACTTCTAAACTTGGTGCTAAGGGTATGAACACCGAATATATGTGTTATGTGTTTGGTGTTGAGGTGACACACATGCTAGGTGACGAGTGTGTGGGCGTGCAACGTGTGAATTATGACTCGATTGATTTTGTGGCACTATGTAGTGACCTAATCTTGTTTCTATCCATGAAATTTCTACGTGATAGAGTAATTGAATTGTAATCCATGTTAGAAACCATGTTTAGGGTACATGCTTATCTTGTTGGGACCTACTGTGGTCATTTCTGTTGTTAAGTTATTTACTTAAATTGCAATTACATACTCATTCATTGCAAATCATATCTCAGTCTCTGATATTATTTGTCTCACAGCATATTATCATTGTTTGGGTCGATTGGCATGAAATTTGTTAGGCCGAGAGACTTGAGAGATTGATGACTGAGTGAGGCCGAGGGCCTGATTCCGAGGATGTTTATGGGATCGGGCTGCACGTCGCAGCAAGCTTATTGATTCATGCCATGATTGGCTTATATTAGTTCTTGGGCAAGATTCTCCTCTCCGGACTCCAGAGTCTGACTTACCAGCAGTGAGAGCAGGTACCTATCAAGTGTGAGTGCCGAGTGATTGGGAGGACTGAGTGACTGTGATGACTGCATCACTGGGAGGACTGAGCGAATTGATACTCCGAGAGTATGCATATGATTTTATTACTGCATTGCATTACATTTGATATGCATATATGGCATGTAGTCATTGATATGCATTTCCTCTCGCGGTACGACATTGTGACATTTATGACTTCACATACACCTTGACATGTAGGCATAAAGATGTACTTTTCTTATGCCATCTGATAATGAAACATCTTACTTGTTGTTGAAAGTTTTTGGGAAAAATCACAGTTTTCAGATTTACACATATTTTGGTGATTTCGGTGAAAGATTTAGGTTTTACTGTTATACTTGAAAAGCATGACTATTTTCCAGAATTGTGAACGAGCTTAGCATTATATCTTTGAGTTATTACTTGTACTACTTTAGTTATATTGTTATGAGTTGTTCATGGCTGTTGGTGTTGGACTCTTACCTTTGTACAAGCTCGTCACTACTTTTAGCTTAAGGTTAGGTTTGTTACTTATTGAGTACATGGGGTCGGTTGTACTCATACTACACTTCTGCACCTTGCGTGTAGATTTTGGATGTTGATGTTGATGTGTGTGGGGGGAGCTGGCATTGAGGATGTACCCGTGTTCCGGTATAACTGCCTCTTGTTCTTGGTAGCTTTAGAATTATTAATATGTTCATATATATTTCAAACAGATGATGTATTTATTTCATACCAGTTTGTAAACTCTTAATCATAGAAACTCATGATTTATATTACCAGTCCTTGGGAATTCTTTGTATAGAAGTTCAGTTATATTATCATTACATTTATAAGTAAATCTCATTGAATCGGATTGTTGTTAATTGGCTTACCTAGCGGGTTGGGGTTAGGTGCCATAACGACTAATTGGATTTTGGGTCGTGACAATTCTTAGCCACGAGCCGAGCTATTATTGATGTGTGTGAAGGAAATATGACAATGAGAGTGGGTGATTAGGTGGAGGTATTCAATGTTTATAAAGCACTGAAATTGTCAGCCCACTATGAAGAGCTATCCATGATTTCTGTGGTGGAAAGTGATGTGACTTTGTTAATGCCTTATATGAGCCCCATAGACCCCCTTGAGCAAGTTTTAACGGGGGATGAAGAAGAAAGTGAAGATGAGATAATGGAAGAAAGTGAGCAACAAAGGAAGTTAAATCCTATTATGAAGGAGGTCATGAAGAAGGAAGTAATTAAGTGGCTTGATGCAAGTATTATCTTCCCTATCTCTAACAGAAACTGGGTAAGCCGAGTGCAATGTGTGCCCAAAAATTTGGGGGGG